AGTCAAATGATCTCCGAGATTTGCGTTAACTTATTATTTAAATTTTAGTATTATTATGTTTTACAAATTATAAAAAAACAGTTTACCTAGAGTCATATACCCAAATTTTGAAATTTTGTTACTAGGTAAACCTACCTTCAAAATTAATTTGGAAATTTGCCATTGCTAAAAATGAAAATTTGTCGATTCAAATTTTAGTATTGTTTTACAAATTATTAAAAACAATTTTCACATAAAGTTTGTTTGCAGTGACATATAAATCGTGCAATTTTGGTTTCTACAACTAAATTTTTTGAGCGAACAGAGCTTGAGTTTGACAACGGAACTGAATATTTTGGAGATTTACTATTACTAAATATAAATAGATCCTGGTTGGATTGGATTATTATTTTTTACAAATTGAAGAAATTAAAATTTTGTTAATTTTAAAAATTAAATTTTTTGACGGAAATTATTGCTGCAGCGAGAAATTTTAAATTCAGTATAACGATTTATTTGTATGTGATCCCAACTTATTTTGAATGCAGAGGTGGAAGATGTATGTCAAAATCATTTTCTGATTTTAGCTGATATAATTCTACTCAAATTTTTGTATTATGTTTTGTACATTATTAATCAATTTTCAGGGAAAGACTGTTTCGAGTGAGAGATTCAAATTTGGCAATTTTGTTACCAACTAAAATTTTCCAACTGGGCAGAGTTCGACCCCGTTACAGAATACGTTGGAGGTTTGTGGTTGCTCAATATGGTTAGATCGAATTTTAACCACTAAATTGCATGAATTTATAATTTTGGAAATTCTCAAAATAAATCGTATTTCATGGAAAGTATCACTGAAGCGAGAAAATTCAAATTGGATATCTTTTTATGTTGTCCCCAACTAATTTTAAAGTTCAAGTGTTGTACTATACGGGTCAAAATAAGACATTTACGTTCATTTATTTATTATAATTAGAACAGAAAAATGGTCTTATTTGGTACAAATTAGTAACACAAATTTTCACGGAAAGTTATAAATTGTGATTTCCGGCTAAAAAATTTGTGAAGTGTATAGAATTTGACATCAATATTTTTGTAATAAAAGCGTTTGGAAATTTCAAGAAATGAAAATTATGGAAATTTTCAAAATAAATCTTATTTCACGGATAATATCTCTGCAGCAAGGAATTTCAAATTTGAGAACTTTTTATGTTGCTCCCATCTTATTTTGAAGTTTTTTAAGTTACAAATTAGTAAAACAAATTTTCACGGAAGGTTTACTTAATCCAAATTTTGCAATTTTTATATTAAATTTGAATTCAACATTTTTTGAAGTGCAAAGAATTTGACGCCGTTACAAAATAATTTGGAGATTTCCTATTTATTAATATTGTAAGATCCATATGGCTTGGACATCTGCTTTTTCTTTGGATTCGAAATTTAGTGTTTTACAAATTATTAAAAACAATTTTCACGCAAAATTTACTTACACTGAGAGATCAAAGTTTTTCCATGTTGTTACTAAAATTGTTTTTTAATGATACAGAGTTTGAAGCCGAAATGGAATATTTTGGAAATTTTGAACTAGTTAATGCAATTAGATATTTAAAACTAATTATTTTATGTGGTAATACTTAAAAAGTTAATTTCATAATTAAACCATTAACTTTTTAATAATTTCCTATACCCACTAAATAAAGTTGAGCACGGCCTGTTGAGTAAAACCGAATTGATGAATTTTTATACACCCTTGACGAAACATTGCTCAGTCATAAACTAAAAATTATCCAATGAGGTTGCACTAATCGATGTTTAGACAAGGTTGCAAATTTTGTAATAACAAATTGTGCAAAATTGACTTTTAATAACTTGCATTAATATTGTCACAATTGTGGTGTAATTTTTACACAATAAGATTAAAATTAGTGTACGAATTTTCATTTAATTGTGAAGTATGTTAAATATTATTGGGTAAAAAATATCATTATCCAGTTTAGATTTAATCATATCAGTAAATCCAAAATCTCCAAATTAATCTGTTCCGGTTTGGGGTAAAAAAATAAATTTTTTTATCTAGTTAAAAGTTTTACTTTGTGGCGCTTTTAATTTTGTTAACAACTAATTTTTTTTCGGCAGACGGATTTTGACGACGTTACAGTTCAATTTGGAAATTTCCCATTGAAAAATATGGTTAGATTTACTTGTGTCGAGAAATTTTAGAGTCGATATAACAATTTATTTTGAATTACCACGATATATTCACGTATATAATTAGATTGGTAGTTAGTAATTGTCCCATCCAAATTTTTCAAATTATTCTGCTTCGAAGTCAAAATTGACTAATTTATTATTTTATGTATATTCTTAATTTTTTTAGGCACTGTTCCCCATTTAATTTTTTAAGGTTGAACTTCACGTATCAAATTGACAACAAATGCTGAGCTTTTTGTTCAAAAATTGTAAAAGTAAACAATGCATTCACTTCGAATTTTTTTTTGAACAAAACTTTGGAAAAAATCTAATCATACTAGTTAATCAAAAATTTCCAAATTAATCTGCTCCGGAGTCAAAATCTGTGCAAAAAATAAATTTATTAAGATAAAATTATAGTTAAATTATTAAGATAAAATTATTCACAATTTGTGAGGTATTGTCCTCCATTTTATTTTGACAAAGTTGAATTTTACTAATAAATATTGAGCTTTTTCATATAAATTCTAAAAAACGAAGCATTCAGTTCACGTGGTGCGCATCATGCTAAATAATTGTTTATTCAAGTCAAATCATCCCCGGGATTTGGGTTTACTTGTTATCCGAGTTTTAGCATAGTTTTTATTACAAATTATTAAGAACAATTTGCATGAAAAATCTTTTTTCGGAGTGATGAATAAATCTTGCAATTTAGGGTTTTGCAACTAAATTTTTCTAAAATTGACAGAGTTTGACACCGGAACGGAATAATATGGAAATTTTTAATGGATCGATATAATTAGGTCCTTCAAGTGTAGTGGGTAATGTTTAAAATTAATGTACGCATTTAAAAAATAACAATTTCTGAAAGACTAATTTTCATTTAATTTATTAATTAACCATTTTACAAAGTCGATAAGTAGAAATCATAATTAAATTATATAAAATCGTATCAAATTGTCAATATGGTCATTTGCTCATGAAAATCATTTGCTCATGTCAACAGTCACATATTTCGCAAATTGATCATCGCAACATAACTTGCGAAGTTTTTCGAGACGAAATTTCGCAAAAATTTTGCTGGAAAACCAAGCGATTGAAATTTACCCAGCAATTGGACATGTTCATATATCGCAAAAACTCGTCCTCTCCATAACCAGCACGAGAAATTCCAGAAATCCTTGCACACCGTATCAAAAGAGGTGTTTTAGTAAATTTGCGAGATTTGCGAAGTCATATTTTGCGAATCTCCTCACGACACGAATATTTTGATCCTCGCAAGTTTGCTAAATGAGTTGCGATGCGAAGTAATACGTTGTCGTTGAATACGCCTAATGCTAAAAAATAATTTACGCATTTTTTACAAATTTTCTAATTTCGTCTTTCATTTTATAACAAAATTATAAAATTTAGGAGTAGAAATGACACCTAAAGTACTATCTGTGGATCCAAAATTTCCAAATAATTCTATTCAGACGTTAAACTTCGCAAGCAACAAATTTGTGAAAATTCTAAGTTTTTGAGGCATTGTTCTACACTCCTGACTCCACTTAATTTTTACAAGGTTGAATTTAACGCATCAAATTGATAACAAATGTTAAGCCTTTTCTTCATGTTTACAGTAAACATTAAAGAAAAGCTCAAAATAAGTAACTTATTTTCTGAATTTGAATAGTACATCTGTCTTACAAATTAGATATAACAAATATTTTTCTCGTAAAGTTTGTTTGAAGATAAATCTTGCAATTTTGTTGCCAACTAAAATTTTTTAACTGGACAGAATTTGACGCCGGAACGGAGTAATTTGGAAATTTTGAATATATAAAAATTAATAGATTGATTGATTTCGTAATCTACTTCAGATGTAATCGTATTGGTCAATTTAAATTTGCAAATTCTGTTCTGACGTCAAACTACATACAAATAAGTTTCTTAAAATTATTAATTTTTGAGGCATTGTTTCCCTACTGATTTTTACCAGGTTAAATTTTCCTCAGTAAATATTAAACTATTTTCATAAATTGTAAAAAAACGATGTATTCACGTGATGCATATTGCACGCGTATCTTCTGGGTTGGGTAAATTTATTGCACTGCGAAGCAAGCCATGCAAGAAATGCGATGTGAAAGAAATGGGAGGTGCAAAAAATTCAAGAAATGCGAGGTGCAAGAAACTGGGAGAAAGTGCAAGAAACAAGCACCATCTAGCCACGCGCTGTATGAAGTATTTATAGCGGCGGGGCGCTTATTCTAGCGCCTTACATTTCTTGCAGGTCAAAATATTTCCCTGAAAGAAACCACTTTCTCTCCCTTATTTCTTGCAAGTGGTTAATACTTGCAGACGAAACACTGCTTATATAATTCCTTACGTAATTCAAGTGATCTCTGCGAATTACTCACTTTTAATTGAAATCCACTCCTACAAACAAACAGAACAACAACGTCAAGTTGTTTGTAAACAGTGGAGGTAAACACTTGTCGAGAAAAATCAATTAGTTCTCAGCATCTCTCGTGTCACCAAGAAATTTTAATTTATTCTTGGCACTGCTCTTGTCATTTTCGTACCGTTTTTTTCTGGATGCATGGAAATTCTCAGTGTTGCAGCCTTGTTTAGCCCGAGTCAGGGTGTTATCAATAATTGAAGTGTAACGACCACCATAATTTTTTTTATAGATTTTGAAAATTTTAGAAATTGATTCCTAATTTTTAGTGTATTATACGTTTATCCAAAATTTTAAGTTTATTGGATAAGTTTTAAATAATACGAGTGTAGTCGATAGACGGACAGACAGAAAACCATGACAGGTGCATAAGCCTTGATTTTGCCTAAAAATCGAGCCAAATTCATATGTACACGTACCAAGTATAGAATTTAATAAATTGTACCAAGAAATTAGGGATGACGGTAATTGATCGATAGACAGACAGACAGACAACCATGACGGGTACACAAGCCCTGGCTTGGGCTAAAAAATCGTATCGATGTATCACACACACGTACAACGTAACCGAATACAAAATTTAAACAAATTGTACCAAAAAATTGCCTTTGGATAAGTTTTACCAGCTTAATCGATCGATAGACAGACAGACACAATCACAACGCGTACATGAGCCCTGACTCGGGCTAAAAAAATCCAGCTACATTCATATGTGCACGTACCTAATACACAATTTAAGCAAATTCTACCAAGAAATTCTGGACAATTCTTACGTAGCGTCCCCCCTGCAGTAATCCAGCCAATATTTTAAGTCATCAAAGATTTTTTTGAAGCTGATGACGCATTTACATATTCGGTGAGAGGTTTGATCAACAAATCGTGGAGAATAATGAGCAGCAAGCCAATCCAACAAATTGACAAGTATTAATATCTTTATAAACGTTGAGCTGGAACAATGCACTGATTATTTTGTAATTGCAAATTACAAATCTTGAGAAATTGCTAATTATTCTTAAAGTTGGATTCGATGACTCATGGCTAAATTGTCCAAATCAGCAATATTTGTAATCATTTATCCGCTCTCAGACATTATTTTAAAATTCTGGACGACAAATTTGTAGTCAGTGAGTTGATTGATCGAATGGCGTCAAGTTTTTTGAGCCAGTTTCGACGAGTTCCAATTTTTGTGAAAGTTTCTTAAACTTGAGATCTTCTCCTTCAAAAAGTGTCAAAATCTGGATCGTATATTTTTAAAATATTGGCAACTCGCTGCTCTACAAATTTATCGTTTTGAATTTTAAAATAAATTCCCAGAGCGGAGACATGATTAAAAATGTGCTGCTAATTTTAGCGATGAATCATCGAGTCCTATATTAAAGTCACAAGTTACCGTATTTCTCAACTCTGGGAAGTTATTTTTAAGATTCTGGTCCAAAAATTTGTAGAGCAAGTCGTTCCAAATTTTTGTGAAAATATACACTTCAGATTTTGACACTTTTTGAAGGAGGGGATCTCAAGTTTAAGAAGCCTTCAGAAAAATTGGAACTCGTCGAAACTGGTCAAAAAACTCAACGCCATTCCATTAATCAACTCATTGACTACAAATTTGTCGTCCAGAATTTTGAAATAAGTTCCCAGAGCGGAGGGATGATTAAAAATGTGCTGATTTTGACGATGAGTCATCGAGTCCAACGTTAATTTGTGAAAAGTTCAAAGAAAACATAATCCTCAAAAATCTGCAAAATTTCCTTACCTTTATGATCCAAAGTAAAGCGTTAGAAATGCAGAAATCTGCCGTTCGCGTGAATCGGTCCAACTCAAATGTTCACAATTTGGGGGGACGGGGGACCTCACTTAAGTTGCACTTTGACGAAGGAAGACGCGTCTCTGCGGCGGCTATGATATCGTCGTTCGATACCCAGCAGGATAAGCCGATGTCAAACTTGTGTAAAATTCTGACCAAGAATAATTACTCTGAGGCTGGGTAGGTAATCATTTTCGTTTAGCTACGGTTTTTTTTTAAAGATTTTTTCTATTTTGAATTTGAAAGGAAAATTTGAAAACGAAAAAAATTAAATTTTGAAAAACTATAAGAAGTTTTTCGATTTTAATTTGAGTATGGTTTTCAAATGATCTAACCCTCATTTGTTACTTGAAAGCCGACAAATTTTAAAAATCGGATTCCAAATCTTACATAAAAAGTTAACTCAAAACCTGAATTTGAAGTTAACAAAATTTTGTTAAAAAATGCCAAAAATTTTAAATTATAAATGTAAAGAACCAAATTTAAGTATAATCCAAATCATGCATAAAAGATTAAATTATATCCTTAATTTGAAATTGAGAGCAAAAGTTTAAAAAACAAGTTTAATCAAAAATAATTACTGTGATGCCGGGTAAGCAATAATCATTTTCGTGTATATAGCTACGTTTTGTTGTATAGATTTAAACTACTCAATTTTGGATTTGAGAGGAAAATTTCAAATTTTAAAAGGGAAGACAAAATTCAAATTTGGAAAACTATCTGGTGCTTTTCGACTTCGACTTTGAGTCTAGAGTCTAGACTACAAGATTACAATATGCATGGTTTATTTATTTCATGAAAATCAACATTTTTTAAAAATTGGACTCCAAATAATTCATATGCTGAAGTTAAACTTGAGAACAAATGTTTTATAAAAAAAATCTGACCAAAAATAGTTACTGTGAGGCTGGGTAAGTAATCCTTTAGTGTAAATCTGGCTTACCTAAGCGGCCTGTGTTTTGGTATTGGTTTGAACTAATCGAATTTGAATTTGAGGGGGAAAATTTTAATTCAAGGGGGCAAATTTAAATTTATAACGGGAAAAACAATAATTACATTCGAAGCATAGTTTTTCGGCAATATGCTGAGATACTGGAACATCTATATTTTATTTATTACTTCAAAATCAACAAATGTATCAAATTGGATGCCAACTTTTACATAAACAAACTCGAACTCGTACATACTTTGAAGTTGAGAAAATAAAATTAGTCTCAAAATTGCCAATAATTAGACTCATAATTACATAAAAAGCCAACTAGCACATTGATTTTGAAGTTGATTTTGAAAATAATTTTTTAAATTCAAAAAACTTCAATCAAGTTCTAACCCAACAATCTAAACTGTATTTTTTTTTATTCGACAATTAACAAATTTTTAAATTTGGCCTCTAAATCTTACACAAAAAGTTAACTCAAATACTAAATATGAAATTGAGAACAAAATTGTTTTTAAAATATTAAATTTTAAAATTAGAAATATTGAAGAAGAAATCTAAATTTTCTTTGTGACTTAATAATAAACAAATTTTTCAAATTGGACCCCAAATCTTACATAAAAATATGAACTTACTCTGAATATACTCCACTAAATTCGATTTTGACAGATAAAAAATTGGTTTCAAAAATACGAAAAATTTCAATTTTCAATAATGCGGAACAAATCTCAGTTTTATTCGTCACTTGAAAATTCAAACTTCAGTCTGGGTTTTAAAAAAATCGTATACATTCTATTTTTTTAATTGTTAGCATTTACCAACGTAAATGAGTTCGCATTTACGTATAAATATACGTAATGTAATGTAATGTAATGTAATGTAAAAATACGTAATGTAACGCCAGTATAAATAGACTCCACTTAACAATCACTCAATTTTGATTCTGAGAAATAAAAAATTGGTTCCAAATATTCAAAAAAATATTTAGAATTATTTTCGAACAAAATCTTACTTCCGTTTGATCCTTGAAAATCAACAAATTTCAAAAATTGGACTCAAAATCTTACTTTTAAAACAGGAACAAACTGAATAGAGTACATTAAATAAATGGTTAATTTAGATTTTGAGAAATACAAAATTTATGTCTAAAATGCGTAAAGTTTAGATTTCCAGGAATTCAAAACAAAATCTAAATTTTATTCGTTACTTGAAAATTCACACTTATGAATTATTATCTGAACAGAATCTAATATTCCTAATTGCTAATTGAAAATCTTTAATTTTTTATAATTGAACTGGAAATCTTCATAAAATACGAACTCAATAATTTATCAAATGAACAGTTAATTTCGATTCTGACAAATAAAAAGTGCTGTCTAAAATGTGAAAAACTTGTCAAATCAATCAAAAAATCTATAATGTTTAAAAATAGGAATCCCAATCTTGCATAAGAATGCTAACTCAAACATTGAATTTGAAGTCGAGAACAGAATTAGTTCTTAAGCCACTAAAAATTCAAATTATTCAAAGGGTAAAAGCAAAATTTTATTAATTTCTTGAAAATCTAAATTTGAAATCAACCAAACGAATCTAAGCTTTATTTGTTTCTTTAAAATCACTAAAATTTCAAAATTGGACTCAAAATCTTAATGCAAAAATTTAGAATTACAATAATTGATAACGAAAACCAAATTTTATTCGTTACATCAAATATTAAATTTGAAAAAACAAGTTGACAAAATCGAATTTTGCAAATTAAAAAAAATTAATTTCCAAATTTCACATAAAAATATTTACTTTGAATAATCCACTGAATAGAAAGTCAATTTTGATTTCGACAAATAACAAAAATTGGTTTTTAAAATGTGAAAAAATTCAAACTAGAATTATTTGTTATTTGAAAATTAAAAACTTTAAAAAAAAATTTACTCCGAACTTTACGTAAAAATACAAACTCTGAATATACTCCATTAAATAAGCAATCAATTTTGATTTCGAGAAATTATAAAATCGGTTATATAAATTCGAAAAATTTAAAATTACAACAATTGAGAACAAAATTCAAATTTTGTTCGCTACATTAAAATTAACAAGTTAACCAAATCTAGTATTTTTAAGTAGTTATTTGTCAATCATTATTTTTTTAAAAATTGGACTGTACATCTTACATAAAAATATGAACTCTGAATAGATTCAACAATTCGATAAATAAAAAGTTAAGATTGATTTCAAGAAATAAAAAAATGGTTTCTAAAATGTGAAAAAATTCAAATTAGAATTATTATCGAACAAAATCTCAGCTTTATTCGTTACTTGTAAATTAATTTTTTTTTCATTTGACTCTAAGTTTTACATAAAAATACGAACTGTGAGTACACTCCATTAAATAAACGGTCAATTTTGATTTCGAGAAATTATAAAATTGGTTATTGAAATTGGAAAATTTTCAAATTATGATAATCGAGAAAAAAAATCCTAACTTTGTTCGTTACATCAAAATTGAACCATAATACGACAAATTGACAAAATCTAATGTTTTAAATAGTATTTGGAAATCATTTATTTTTAAAAATTGGAGTACAGATTTTACATAAAAATACAAACTCTGAATAAACCCAATCATCCATCAAATAAACATTCAATTTCGATCGTAAGCAATAAAAAAAATAGTTTCTAAAATGTGAAAAAATTCAAATTATAATTATTGTCGAACAAAATCGTAGCTTTAATTGTTACTTGAAGATTACTAAGTTTTTTAAAATTGGGCTAAAATCTTGCATGAAAAATCTAACTCGAAAAATGAATTTGAACTAGATTTAAAATACTAACCATTTCAAATTATAATGTATTGAGGATGAAATATAAATTGTCCTTTGAATTGACCCCGACTCGGAGAAATAAATAATTTGCTATTATTATGCGGAAAATAATTGAGAAAGATCAAAATTATGTTTGTTAAATTTTATTCGAAACATTAACTTAAACAGCGAATTTGAAGCTAATGCAAAAATTAGTTTTAACATGCCAGAAATTTCAAATTAGAAATTTCAAATCAGAAATTCTGATTCAGAATTATTGTTGAACAAAACCTTACCTTTATTTATCTATTACTTGAAAATCAACATATTATTAAAAATGTACCCCAAATCTTCCATAAAAATATGAACTCCGAAAAGAACCCACTAAATAAAATGCAAATTTCGATTTCGAGAAATAAGAAAAATTGATTTGCAAAATATGGAAAATAATTGCAAGCAAAACCCAAATTTTATTCCTAATAAGTACTTGAAGAAATGGATCAGCGATCTGCATTTCAATTGAGGATTGATGCTTTTACATTTTTTATAAATTGGACTCCAAATCTTACATAACAAATTTAACTAAAGTTTTTGAAATACAAAAATCAAAATCGGAATCAAAATTTCAATGGATGCTTAGCACATTTTAAAAAAATGAACTCAAGATCTTAACTAAAATTTTACATAAGAGATTATTTGTTAAAATTATAATTACTCGAATTATATTATTCAATTACCGTAAATACTCTATTTATAGCCGGGGCTAAAATACAAAACTGGGTGTCACAGACCCGGCTATAATTAGAGACCCGGCCAAATTTTGTTCCGCGCAAATTTTTAAAATTATAAAATCACTTTTTGTCATGATTAGATGCATTCTTGGTCAAATGAAATTAACAGTTTTGTAAATTTTGACCTCATTCGTGGATTCACCGAATGTACAGCATTTTTGGATGGGCTGTGAACAGGAACAGAGCTGATAAGACGGGTCATAATTAGAGACCCGGCTATAATTGGGGACCCGGCTATAGTTAGAGACCCGGCTAAAATTTTTAAATCTTGGTCTCTAGACCCGGCTATAATTAGAATAGGGCTATAAATAGAGGTTTTACGGTATGTGATGAAAATTCTATGAACTATAAAGTATGATATGTTGTAAATGAGGTAAAGTGGGAAATATTTTCCACTTGATGGGGTTTGATCTTATTTTGCTAAAAAAATGTAAGGGACTGATTTTACGTGAAAAATAAATCCTTATTATTATCAATATTATAAGAGTCTGTCTCTTTTCAAAATTATCACCCCCACTCACCAGCGACACTCTAAATCTTACATTTAAAAAACTACCACTCTAAAACTAAACTTTAAAAAGTTTCTAAAATGCGGAAAAATGTATAGTTTGATCTAAATTCTAATTAGTATGTGGAAATTATCAAATTTTTTGGAAAAATTCAAGTCCATATCTTTAAAAAATTCATAAAATCCGTAAAAAATCTCTCTTTACAAAATTATCATACCACCAACCAGCGACAGTCTAAATCTTATATAATAAAAAACCAATCCAAAAAGTTTCTGAAATGCCGGAAAACAAATAATTTGATCAAACTCCTAAATAGTATTTGATAATTTTCATATTAAAAAATTGAAATCCAATTGTTTAAAACTTAAAAAATTCTTAAAATCCATAAAAAGCCATTAAAAAATTTGTCTCTTTACAAAATTTGTACCACTCACCAGGGACACGACGGTACTGGCCTCCACCCCGTCCCCCTTCACCCCTCCGGTCCCCCTGAGGGAGATGAGACATCGAAAAGTCGCATCTTCCACCTCCATCGCCACGACCGGGTTGGGGTCATCCCTGCCAAATCTGGATGTCAATAATGTGACCCCAAAGGTCACCCCTAGCCCCATAACGCCACCCGTAAATGGAGGCGGTGGTGGTACTGGTGGCCTTTTGGTCGGCGTGGTCAAACCGGAACTCGTCTGCCCCCGGAGGGAAAGCAAGAGCAAGATTAAAATCATTTCGGACCATAAGCTAATGACACCTTTTGGGGACCACGCTTCCCTGAAAAAGCGTCAATTAAGTGGGACCACCAACGTCACTGGTGTGACGAGTGTGACGAAGACTGGATTGACTAAAGGGGTGACTAAAAAGGTGTCCACTCCGGTAATTTCGATGAAGAAAAATAAGGCAGTGGTGGCTGACCCACAAAATGTGAATTTGTCGAAATACTTATGGATTAATTGGACAATTGAGAGTAAGTAATTAATTTACGATAAATTATTTATTATAAAAATCTTCAAAAATTTGCATATTCTTAATCATTTATCCCCTCTGGAAATTTATTTTAAAATTCTGCACGACAAATTTGCAGTCAGTGAGTTGATTAATGGAATGGCTTTGAGTTTTTGAAGGCAGTTTAAACTGAGATCTCCTCCTTTAAAATGTGTCAAAATCTATCTAGTGCATATTTAAAAAAATTGGGAACGATAACTCTACAAACTTACATCCAGAATTTTCAAATAAATTCCTAACGAAATGATTAAAAATGAGCTGATTTTGGTAATGAGACATCCAGTCCTATATGTGTTAATTGTTCCGTAAAATTAATTATTCGCATCCTTTTTAGAAATCATCTTTGGCGTCCTCATCTCCTATTTGATCTACCAAATCAAAGAAATAAAACCCGCTCCGGTTGCGGAAGAGCCGTAAAAAAGATCACGATAATCAATCAATTGTTTTCACTTTCAATAATATGTAATTATCTTATGTTAAAATGTTGTTGAATTTTACTCCTTACGCAGATGGTGGAAATGGTTGGTGGAGAAAATTCTGGACAAATTGGTTCGTATACATAAAACTAAGAATGGAGGTCTCCAAATGCATGCGATCCGCTTTTTGGCAAAATCGATTACATATTTAATTAGGATGAAATTTGCGAAAGACGCGGTCGTCCAATGGGAACGTTTGGCAGAGATATTTGCATCCCAAGAGGAGAAAAGCGCAGTAAAGTTTACAAAATTTACACTTTACAAATTGTCTGTACGTTTTCTCCTCTTCGGATGCGAATATCTCTGCCAAACGTGCCGATTGGGAGATCGCGTCTTTGGCAAATTTCTTCCTAATTAAATTTGTCATCGATTTCCACTATTTTGCTCAAAATCGGATCGCATACGCTGGGAGACCTTCATTCTACCCGACTAAAAATAAACCTGGAATGTGGACAAGTTATTTAAATTTGGTAACAATTTATGCATGCATGTAGGGTCCAAAAGACCTTTTCGTCTTTGGCGTCATGTTTCTCTTGGCGCGTGTCGGAATTCGTGGGTTGGACGTTTTCTCGAGAAAGTTGGAAATATCGAATAACCTTTTGCAAGAAGAGAGACGTTCTGAAATGAACGTCCGCCTCCGACAAATGAGGCTGAATACGAGGCACGAAATTTGGAAAACGGTGACGGACGGATTCACAAAGGTTTTAAAATACATTACAAATAATCCGAATTGTCGTAGTTTTTTTAGCAAAATGTGTACAGTAAACTTGCGAGATTTGCGAAATACGTCGTCAAAATATGTATAGTATTTTAAGCTTAAATGTGTCCAGGCTATAAAAAGACGGAAATCTGAAAATTTTCTCACTTTTTTTATTATTAAAATGTGTACACTAAATTTGCGAGGTTTGCAAAATACTTTGTTAAAATCTATGCATGTACATAGAGTGTACTTAAGGCAACGTCTTATCGCAACTGATTTAGAACACTTGCGAATATCAAAAAATTTGTGTTTTGAGGGGATTCGCAAAATATGACTTCGTAAATCTCGCAAATGTACTAAAAACACCTATTTTGATGCTGTATCCAATATTGTGACGGTGAGGATGAGTTTGCGAAATAATGTTACGAAATGAGACCATGCCCATTTGCGAAAAAAAATCCCTCATGGTTATCCAACCGTAGTTTTATGCAATCTCGCAGACTTCACAAGTTATGTTGCTCTGTTCATATGCGAGGTTTGTGAAGTACTTTTCAAAACAAATACAGTATTTTGAGCTGAAAAATGTCCAGACCTTTTGCACCTACAAACATACGAAAATCTGAATATGAAATTTCATATAAAGAAATTAACATTTTATTTCTGCTAAAATACAGTGTATTCACGATTTAATGGGAAAAAGCTTAAAAATCAAAACATCCTTAATCCTTAAAAATATAGAATTTTAAAAATTTTCTTTACCACCATTAAAAGTTATTATCGGCTCCATACAAATTTTTTTTCACGATTTGTCAAAAAACGGCAAAGTCTGACACCGATGAAAATGTTTTATCGATGTTAAAACACAAAAGGTATAAAAATTACCGATCCCTTAATCTTTTTTTTCCTTAAATTTTGAAAACAATAAATTTTTACATGAATTTCTGGGGTTGCTACACCCACAAAAAGACGAAAATCTACGTGGAGAAGGCAGCAGTCGTACGAAAATCGTGTTTTGTCAAGAAATTTCTTCCATGTGAAAATTCATTGTTTTCAAGATTTAAGGAAAAGTAATGAAAACAAGTCCACGCAGCATTAACAAAATTCCGAGTGGTTAACAAAACTTTGCGTTAATTTCAAAATTCTGAATTGGCAAAAGGACATATCAGAAATCCGTAACATTAACATGAACTCCATACTCATATTCTAATTTAGATTTCGTTCAAATTTTGTTGCAAAATGTGTTACAACTACGGTCCCAAATTTACGGCTATAGCTGGCTATTCAGAACATTCCCAATTGGTTTAAACATTCGGAATAAGTAACGAATTGTATCTAGCGATTCCGCTAGATCATTACACCTATGGATTAACTTAAAATTCTAACCAAAATTCCATAATTCGATCGTGGCATACTAATACGGAAAATGCAATTATTTTGCAAACTTCAGCACCTAGGAAAATTGGGGTCAGAAATCGAGGCAGCGGCCAAATTCTAGTGTAAAATAATTTTTAAAATTATTTCCCGCGATATTTGACCAAAAGTTGGACTAGTTTGAATCAAAATCCAAAATTTGCAAAAAATTCGCACATTTTGGCTCAGATCTCAAAATCCACCAATGGGCCCCCCAATTTTATTACGGATTTTTGATCTACTCAATTTTACGCAAATTTTAAGGTATCTAACTAGAAAATAGTTAGAGCGCGAAAAAAACACTATTTCATTGTATATATCTATCTTAATAAAAATCAGACATCTATGATTTATAGATTCTCAGGATTTTCACATTGATAAAGCATTTTTATCGGTGTCAGAATTCGTCGTTTTGATAAATCGTGAAAAAATCTTTTTTTTGAACTTATGAAAACCGATAATAGCTTTTTTGCTGTAAAGAATTTGAAAATTTCAAAGATTATAAATTTTTCATGTATTGTTTTCAAGATTTTTTATGAATACAGTATTTTGTCCCCGATAAAAAGTTAAGTACTTTCTTGACAAAACCCGTATTTTCGTACGACTGTTCATATCTACCTGTTCAAATATTAAGTTTTCATTCAAAGCCAGTCATCCCGCCCAATTTCAGACTGAACATTTTCATTCATTCAGTCATTTTCTTTCAAACTCATTTCATTTCACTTCATCCGACTTCATTTCTTATTTCGCTCCATGTATTAAGCATAGGGTGAAAAATGAAAGAAGTGAAAAACCCTCTGATTCACAGTCATTAATCTGAAATGACGGAACCCTTCATTCATTTTCATTCAAATGACAGGGATTTCATTTTCATTCACTATCATAATCAGTGAAATGAATGAACGTAAACAGCTATGCTACTGTTGCCTTCTCCACGTAGATTTTCATCCTTTTGTGGGTGTAACAGCCCCGGAAATACAAACCCTGGGAAGAACACAGCATCAAAATACTGAATTTGTGATAAATTAATACATAGATCGTGACCACCGTGGTGCGAGCTGTTGCCCCCTTCGGCATAGCGGAAGAGGTCGTTTCTACCGTTTTGGACATTGCAAGAGGCAGAGCGCGCGATAAGTCGGCCGCCGCTGCTGCCGCAAAGAAGGAGAACGATGCAAATTTCGAAGTGGATAATTTTGCCACCACGTCGTCGACGACAAGTAAAAAATTCAGTTATGACGGAAATGGTCATCGTCGCGTGGTGCAGACGAGCTCATCTCCGTTTTCGGTGGGTGTGCCGACCCATCCCCGGGTTAATTTAGGATTGGGCGGTCCCGCCCCGAATAATCGGGGATGTGGTGGGACTGACGGGAAACGAGGGCTTACGACAAGTCGGACCAGTGGAAAAAATAAGAACGACAAGATTCGTGCATGTGTTTTGGAAGATTGAATTTATTTTAAAATATTTTTAAGTTTTGGAATTTTATGGTTGGTGATGGAAATTTTATTTTAATTGTTTAAAAAAAACTTGGTGGTGGTGGTGGTGCTTTCAAAATATTATTTCAAAATAAAAACTAAAGTTTACAAATTAATCCCGTTATTTTGAAATAATCTTGTATTAATTTTGTCATTAAAACTAAAAAGGAAGGAGAACGATATGCGAAGGTTGACGTGAATACGCTCACTATTTTAAAATCTTGTGGTGGGTGGAATTTTATCTTACTTGTTTAAAAAAGTTTGTGTCAAAATAACATAATACATACATATGCGTAGGCGTACCTTAAAATACCTGGACCCATCTTAAAAGTAATACATAGTTCCTATTTTTGTAAATGCCTTACAATTCAAGCATTTTCAATCTGCATGTAAATAATCGATCCATTTCGTTCGAGTATATGTAGCATAAATTTTCTGATAATTTTTTTGAAGTCAAAATTTTTTAATTTAAAATTGGCCTTGTCATGTCATATTTTTTATTACCGGACGGACATGCAATAAATGCCAAAATGGGTGACTTTGACACTGTAATGTATTCCATAATATTATCCACCATATTTCAAATCATCTTAAAATATGTTAAATGCTTCAAACTAAAGATTGCATTTTGTGATTGTCTTACAAATTTCTATCGGAGTGAAATTATGTAAATTCGTCGCCATTGATTATTGCATAATTTCTGGGGCTACTTATAAAATTGGCGTATTATAAGAACGTGTTATGATGTGAGATCAAAATTTTGGAATTTTGTGGTGGTGGAAATTTGTATTTTTATTGTTTAAAATAATTTGGTATTGATGGTGGTTTCAAAATATTGGTCGAAAATAATATCGGAACTTCATCAATTAATTTTTTATTTGAAAACAATCTGTAATTACTTTTGTCATTAAAAATAAAGAAGGAGGAGGATGCTGATTATGATGGAAGATTGACATTATTTTTAAAATGCTATTCTAAAATTTTAGGATTTTGTGGTGATGGGAATTATATTTTAATTGTTTAAAAAAATTTGGTGTCGGTGGTGGTTTCAAAATAAAGAACGTCCGGGAATGAATGGGAATGGTCTGAAAATGTGGTCATAAAATCACAATGAGTTATCGGAATTTTAAACTTTTTGCATATGTATAATACCAAATACGTACCTACATAATTTAATTAATAGCTAAGGCCGCCACACCCCCGTTGGCGACTAGTTCGATTTTCTTGCGAAGATTTTTCATTAAATTTTTTCCCGAAGTTTTTGCCACTTCCGAGGTGATTTTCTTCCATCGTCCTTTGAATTTTCGAAAGGTGTCAGGCACATCTTGAAGCCGGGAGTATACTGACTTAGAACGTGCCCAGAATTTTTCGATTGGGCGGAGTTGGGGTACATTAGGTGGGTTGATATCTTTTGGTACGAAATCAATATTTTTCTTTCTGAGGTACTCGGTCACTTTCTTTGCATAGTGACAAGTGGCGAGGTCAGGCCAAAACAAAACTTTATCATTTTTGTGAAACCTATTAATAAATGCTTCCAATCCAGCCTTGACGCAATTTTTCAGATAAATATCTTGATTGATATTCCCTTCGAGAACTACCGGGTCTGATACATGTCCGTGACTGGAGATGCATTGCCAAATGCAATATTTCTTTGGAAATTTGTCTTTTTTTCGTACTTTTTCTTCATAAGCCACTTCAGAGGGATCCGAGCTATGAAAAAAATGACGCCCTGGAAGATTTGAAGGGTCAACCGGAACATACGTTTCGTCATCCAGGATCACTACTTTTCCACGCATTTTCTTCAACAATTTTTGACAGCAATCCTTGATCCGACTTTCTTGTACGGGCTTGTAATTTGGTGCAGGTTTTTTGGTCCTTGCTTTGATTCCTAATTTATGGACCTTAATTTCCCCCAGGTAGCTTTTGGAAATTTTGACTTTCCTGGCAGCTACAGCTACTGACGTTGATGGCTTGGTTTTGAAAATTTTTTCAATTCTATTTTTCACTCGAGTGGTCGCTAGCTTCGCCGGACGACCAGCTGGCTTCTTGAATTGCACATTTTCGGAATCCTTGAACTTTTTTATGTAGGAATACACATTTGAACTTGGAATTCCTTCCTGCTTAAAAAAGTTCCAGGTCACCTTGGAGTCTCGGTTGGCTGTCGTGTTGTAGAACTCCATCACTCGTTTTGCTAACAGCTCCCTTTCAAACAAGCTTCTTCTACCCTTATCCATTTTTGAAATTTAAGAGTGATATACCAAATTGACCCTAATGAATTGGGCTTTCAGAAATTTAAATTATTATAGTTCGCGGGTTTATTGATTTGTCAATATACTCGCTAGAGCGCGCATTCCCATTCATTCCCGGACGTTCTTTATTCACAAAAAACAAACATTGAATTTTACTAGTTGAACAAGGGTCTTCAGTAATCTTTAATTACCTTCAATATTAAAAACAAATTCCATATTTTGTAAATGGCTTTCAAATCTTACGTTTTTATTGTTTTTATGAAAATAAATTCCTTGCGCATACTGGGTGAAGTGAAAAGGTCACGTCATAAATGTCTAAATTCCCTGGAAATATGGGAACAATTTTCCATGGACCAGTACCGTTTTCATTACAAATTGTAATTTACAATGCCGACGCCTATCAGACCGATATCAGAAGATGTAAATTACTTTAAACAAAGGCCACATTTTGTAAATGGGTTACAAACCTGGCATTTTTTATCTATATGAAAACACGAAAATGCATCATTTTGAGCTTGACGTAAATTCTGTGTTTAAAAAATCGCGATTTTTTATTACATAATTTATAAACGGCTTCTGAACAGGGTTAATCAATTCTACATCTTAAAGTATTTTACAAGGACTCCATTTTTGCAATGGCGCACAAATCACACATTTTTAGCTTTTATGAAAATAAGTGAATGCTCATTTTGAATATGGCATAAATTCTGTGACTATTCATTAAAAAATTGGTATTAGGATGAAATATGATTTAATATTGGACATAAATGCCAATAAATGGCATGCCGTTAATGGGAAAATCGTTGAAACTTTGACGTATTCCAAACATACTGCCATTAATTGATCTGGATTTAGTTTAATTGCTTTTTGCAACTCATACATTTTCACCGTGATCACAGATTACCATTTATTATCATGGCGTGGAATATTTTTAAACACATAGCGAGACAAAAGGCATGTCATAAATGTCTAAATTTCCTGGAAATTCGGGCAATTATGCAACCTTACTTTTTTAATTACCATGCTGCGGGAAGGTTGCAGAAACCTATATACTTTTAAAACTTTGGAGAAAGTCCACATTTTGTAAATGGCTTAAAAATCTTTCAAAATTTTTCACCGGCATGAAAATAACTAAATTCTGCCCTAAATTCTGTGACTCTTTATTACAAAACTTGCCTTATGATGATGGCATTTTTTAAATACCAGGCAATCAAGGCATGCCAAAAATGCCTTGTAAATTCCCTGGGCAGTGCAACTGTAAACATCTTAAAGTACTTTAAATGCCTTAAATAGAAATTTTGCAAATGGCATAAAAACCTTACATTTTTTACATGCATTATTTTGAGTGTGGCGTAAATTCTCTAACTATTTTCAAACTACACCCGGACATAATGCAAATGATGGAAAATTGAAATTATTTAAAAAATATTTTGAGATTTTTTGATAGCGGAAATTAGATTTTACATGTGTAAAAGAATTCTTCCTTCTGTTACGGACGATTGAAATTATTTTATAATACTATTTTAAGATTTTTTGATTTATCCTTTGGTGGTGGAAATTTTATTTTATATTTTGTTTTACAAAATTTGGTGGTGGTTTCATAATATTGATAAAAAATAAAACCAGCATTTCACCAATCAGTTATTTATTCAGTAAATCATCTTTATTTAATGTAATCACTATAAACAAATTCCGTAGTTTGTAAATGGATTGGAAATCATACATTTTTTACTTGTTAATGAATATAAATTTGTTATAATATTGAGACCAGCCCCAAATAATCGGGTCGGTGGTTTTGCCAGTAATTGCGAGGTCGGAATAGTTGGATAAGAAAGCCAAAATTTGTCCTTCAGTTATGAGGGGACACTGAAATTATTTCAAAAATATTATCTTGAAATATTGGATTCTTTTGTGATTTCTGATGGGAATATTACTTTACTTGTTTTTAAAAAATTTGGTGGCGATGGGGGTTTCAAAATGTTGAAAAATAAATAAAAATCAACTTTACCAATTTTACCAATCAACTGAAATTATAAACTATCTAGAATTACGATTTTCATATGAAGCAAATTCTATATTTTTTAAATGGCTTTCAAATCTTTCAATTTTTACGTTTCAATAAATACAAATTTGTTATAACATTTTGACCATTCCCGAATCGTCCAGTAATCAAACTAGACTAACACCTTATTTTGTAAGTGGCTTCCAAATCATATATTTTTTACCAGCATGGAAATAAATGCGGTATTTCGAGCATATGGCATACATTATTTGCCTATTTAAGATAACATTGGCCTTATCGTGGCATAACAAATTTTTTAAATACTGGACAAACAAGGGCTGCCTTGCTCGCTTAGCTTGCGAAGAATATCATTTACAAATACAAACGCTTTACTTGCTGAATGTGTCGAGTGTGTCACCTTAAAACATTTTGAAGGCTTTATGCAAAGCCCACATTTTGTAAATGGCGTACAACTCTTACCAGTTTACTTCCCGGAATGTTTTACCGGCATGAAAATATGTACAAAAATGTCTCAATGAGTTTGGTGTAAATTATGATGTAACTATTTACTAAAGGTGATTTACGTTAAATGGGGCGACTTTGAAGTTCAACAACTCCGAAACTGGTTAGACTTTTGACCCCAAATTTTGAGCATAATAACATGTGACCCAAGGCTATGTGTCTGTACCAAAAATTAACTCCCAAGACAGAAATGACCCCCCCAAAAGACCCCAGAGCAAGAGGGTGTCGAGAACACTTTTTCCAACTCCCAATTGCTGCCTACAAAAGTTCTTGACAAAGTAAAAAACTAAAATGTGGCATATATTATGCCCCAGTGTGCAGGGAACTCAAAACAATTAATTGTTTCTCCCAAATACAACTGGCTGTATTTTTGGAGAAAACCTAAAAATAGCCCCCACGCGATTTAAGCGTCATCGGTCTACTTCAAATCCATACCAAACATCGAATTTAAAACTTAGAAAACCAACCAGGTGCCATTATATTAAGAAAGGCCTCCTCTAACTGACAAAATAATAATCATAGAAAAATTTCAAATATGGTGAGTTATATAGTTCCATTTTATCAAAAAAAAAAGTTTCTGAGTGGTTTTGGGCCTGGTATTCAAAGAGGTGAAACTTTTTTTACCCGATTTTAAGTTGTTTATGAAAGCTAGATAAGTGCCAAGAATTTTGATACCATCGACATCAAATTCTATAAACAATTAACAATTTTAGAGAATTTTAAAATATTCTAAACCTCAAAATTTTGGGTGTTTTGAAAAACATTTTTTCGTGACTTTTTTTTCGGATGTTTGTATCTCAGGCCCTTTTTACACTAGCGACTTGAAATTTTAAACCAACAATGATGAGAATAGGATCTACTAAGGCTTAAAATTTCAAAGCGATATTACATATAGCGCCTAAGTTATTAAGCTTCAAAATCGCCCCATTTAACGTAAATCACCTTTGGTATTACAAAAACTGGCCTTTTTTTCTTATGGCGTGGCATATGTAAAATACTGGACAAAAAAGGTATATCATAAATGCAAAACTCTCTGCTCATATCTTTAAGATATCTTTAAAATAGCTCGAACCCATGAAACCCTTGAAATGGCTTGAACTTTTTATCAGGATGAGAATATTTAAATGTCACATTTTAACTTTGTCGTA